TCTACGATTCTATGAAGTCAAGGCCTCTGCTGCTTGAACACAGTGGCGCAGCAGCCTGTTATTATTTTGCTTCCTTTGTATACACCAAAATGACAACACAGAGCCTCAGGATAGGAAATCTCCTCCCATTTTCCAGCTTCAGCTGGCTCCTGGCCAACTCAGACTGGTTTGTCTGTGACTGCATTGTCTTCTGGCTCCCCTCCTTCTCTGGATGTGAGCTTCTCCCACTGCTTCATTTGTCCCAGTACAGATTTAGACAGGAATCATACCCCCTCTCCTTTCTTAGGCTGGAACAGTTTCTGGTTGTTCTGCTCAAATGCCAGCAGCTCTGCATCTCTGCTAATTCCCCCTGGTCACACCTGATGAGAACTGGAAATGAGGTCAAGGCAAGGCCTCTCCACAGCCTTAGTCACCTTATTCATATTTACTGACCACTACTGGAATTATTTATCTGGATGCATGCAGAATTGAGTTGTAGCTTTCTCACAGCCATGTTACACTGTAGTGTAACATGTGGCTTGTAGTTCTTCACGAAAGCCTTCACAGTGCCCTTCTGGTGTACCTATAGTCCAGTTACATACTTTCCAATGCAAAGTGTTTAAACCTGAAACAGCTCCAACTAGAAGCTGAAGAAAGAGGCCCCAAAATAACAGAGGTATGAAATCTCTGCCAACATTACTTTAGAACAGGAGAAGACTGCACAAGACAAATCTACCATGCTCTATCTTAAAGACTCAAATCCACAAGTAAGAGGATTACAATAAAAAAATATCACTATCTAATGAAGTAATTTTTTTGTGACCGGCAAGCAATCATATGACAGACCCTTACATGGAGATAGTAGCAATGCAATTAAGTTGTTTTCCATCAGAATGGCATTTCCAGTGATCTACTAAGTCAACTCTAAACCCACAAAAACCAATTGCAATTTACTGCAGTACCTTGCTGTCACATAGAGATAGATGTATTTAAACAGTGTGCTGAAATTAAAACCTGATTAAAATACTGCTGTTATCACTGGTCATCTTCCAAAAAAGCAAAATTATGTTTATGCTGTCTAGTAGTCAAGAGAAGTAAAACAACACACTGGTACTGCTCAGAAAGTGAGGAAACAACACCTTTGCTCCATCTTTGCTATGCAGTGCTGTAATATTTGATGGGACAAAGGTCTCACCTATGAGAACCTATCCGGCTTCTACCAGAGAAAAGCAAGCGTGTGCATGTGTGCCACTAAGACACCAATGGGAAACCCACCTACACTATCCACTACACTTGACCATAAGGCCAAGAACCCAGGTCCTAAAAGCAGTCAAACAAGATGGAGCAAAAGGTATGTGAAAAAAAAACAACTGTGAAAGGGAGTGTGGAAGCCCCTTACTCCTGCTACTTCTTTCTTGCTGCAACTCTGTTCCTAATCCCTTTCCTCTCATGCATTTCTAAATCTGTAATCTTAACCACAGATATATACCCAATGGGTTTTACAGCAAAGAGCTAAACTGAAAAGATAATGAAAGGAAAGCAGATGCTGGCAGACGAAAGCAGCATACAAATAAAAGTCCACTTTGGAATCCTGTTCTCTCCAGAGTATTTGCTGAGCCTTCTTACTTTTCACAAGTACAAATGCTACAGCATTGCAAAGAACAGTCGGAAATCAAGAGTAAGTGCAGAGTCAACTCTTACTCTACAAAATGCTTAAAGTAGAATGAGACCAAAATAAGTGGATCCAAAGCAAAGATTTGTGATGGCAGACTTCAAATTTTACTTGCTGTAAAACCTTACTGGGAGCTATTCAAAACATAAGAACAAAGATTCCAAATATAGAACAGAACAGTGATAATTTTTCCATAAGTGAACTCCTTCCCAACTCATGAAACATCTAAGAAGTAGGTCATACAATCTTGATGTTCCACAGTCACCACAGGTCATTCATGATTGATAACAACTCCCTCAATTTTCTCTTTGTGTTCCTCAAAATTATGGAGGACATTTTGTATTTCCTACAGCCTCTTCCGCCCTTCTGACAAGAGAAAAATTACGTGTCATACTGTGCTATCATCCAAAGACCTCTCTGGGAAAGAAAACTGAATAAAACAGAAAGGCTGTAGACAAGAGGAAAAAAAAAAAAAGATGTACAAGACAAAATGTTCCTATGTCTTAAATCACAGCAAGTGCATAACACTTAGTTGTTGAGAGAGCCAGTTGTCCCACAAGAGCTTTTTCTTCTCTCTTTGTATGCTTCCAGCATAGCTATACATTTTTCCTAGATGAGATCCACTTACTTAGGCACAATTGGGAGTCTTGGCCAGGTTCAGTATTAAATCACTTTCCAGAGCATGTACAGATGCCCTGTGATCCATATTTACTCTCCCATTTGCAGATTTGCATTTGTCCCTCAAACTGCTCAGAAATTATTTGTACACATTCAGGGCAGGGTGTTTCTGGCAGTTAGTAGTGGGTACTGTATTTCCATGGGTGCAACCTTCAGGAATATTTTTTCCTTACTTCCTTCCCACCCTCTTTTTTTAATCCTTTCTGTGATTTCAAACAGACACCCATAGCAGATGCTTCATGCTTTCAGCCTGCCATGTGCATGCTGTTCCATCAGCATCTGCTCCTCCGGCATGCACACATATCATATGGGGGAGCACACTTGCTCCTCTGACACCTCCCATAAAGCTTCAGCAACCTTCCTTCAGCATGGAGTCCAGCATTTCTGGGGGCTTTGAAACAACTGCCCATGGCTTTTGTCAGCATTGCTCTCCCAGACATCATGGCCTTGCCTGGGTTTTCCAGTCTGGAATTTCTATCAGCATGGCTCTTTTTTATGACTCAAAGCAAACACACATCTTTCTTTCCCTTTCACTCCTGCCTGGATTAAAAGGGAAAATGATGATTTTACAGCAGGAAGCCCCAAACAGCACCATTTTGTGCTTTCACCAGCCAGCTGCCACCAGCTGCATGGCTGCAGGCTTAATGCTGCTCACTTCATAAGGGAAACGTCTCCTGCTGCACAGCAAAACAGGCTGCAGGCCTATCAAAGCTGCTCTGGTGGCGATGAGACACCTCAGGCTACTGCTACACACAGGAAACCAAGCTGACAGCTCAGCTGCACACAATTGCATTAAAAGCACAAAAATAGAGATTTATACAAGGCCGCACCAAAGCTGGCTGCTGCACACATTAACGGGAGCCCAACTCACTCCTCCTCCAGGAGGGAGGCACTCCACTCACCAGCCCAAGCACTGCAGGCTTTGCTGCTAATAGGATCATTTCCTTCTAAAACCTTCCCCAAGGCAGCAGCCCAGGAACATGCACAGCTAACTTGGGCTGAAAGGGAATTTTCCACCACCCACAAGCCTGTTTCTACCTTCCATAAATCTTCTAAAGCACAGGCCACAAAGAATCCACATCAGCCTCTGCAGATGACACATAACAAGTAATTGGACGCGCTAAATATTCAGGAACCAACTCCCACGTCAAGTTTCCTTTACACCTTCATGTTTAAAATAAGCACACATTGAATTTACACCTCCTTCCAGATCCCTTCACGTTTCCGTAATAACAGGATGGGGGCTTAGCGTAAATCACTACAGGGCCATTAAGCAGAAAGATCATTCACACTCTCTCTGTCAATTAAGAGATATCAGATACAGGCAGATATACTGACAAGACATGCCTTTTCATCTGAGAAAATAAGCTTAAGCAATCCCTATACAATCACTGTTTTTCTCAGCAAACTTTCTGGAGCACAGATAAGATCAAAGGCGGCTTTCCCAACCAACAAAGTTATTAAGACCTCAAGGAAAAAGTAATGTTGCAGAAAATCCAGAGCTGTCTGATGGCTTCCTTGATCTGAGGATGGAGACACATGGAGCAGCAGGTAGCCGCTACCCCAGTACAAAGAGGGCAGCAGCTGCGCATGAATCAGAAAATAACATTTTTTTGGTGAGAAATATGTATTTTCAGGACATTTTTTAATTATTACTTGTTCGGCAGAATGGTTGCCAAACTTAAAAAATGCATATATATTTTTAACTACAGAAAAACATCTTCACAGCATGCAACCAGAACGCACATCAGTGGTAATGCACTGTGTGCTGAAGTTAAAAGAAAAGGGGACAGGCATGGCCATAAAGTTGTTTTACAAGCAAGTGAACTCTGGATCCATTTTCACAAGGAAGACAAACCCCCACCACCAAGATACCAAAAAACCCCCCAATCAGTTCAATTTTATTAGGAATGTCAAGATAACAGACCTATGGAATACATTTTAATTTAATGTTTGTCTTTGTTAGCTGATATAAGGCCAAACTGAGCACTAGCGAAGGAAGTCCATTAGAAACAAGGAGCTCCATATGAGCAGACACAGTAAAACTGTTTCCTGTCTATATTTTACCTAGAGGTAACATATAGCATGGATTCCGTAATGTACAAAGAATTTTCAAGAATATTGCTGCAACTCACTATCCTTCGACTTTCCTCTGTAAAATGTGGTTAAAATGGGCCAAAGGATTCAAAAGCTGCTCAGGAGAGACAACAAAGAGACAGAGATGCACAAAGTCAGGATATGAATTTGTTTTCTGAAGCAGTAACAATAAAAAAAGAGAAGGAACGATCTGGGCCAGCAGTTCAAACAATATGACATAAATATCATCTGAAAGTGGTATGCGAATGGCATCTGAACAGGCAAAAGACATTCATGCATGCCACTGAGACTACATTTGTAAAAGCCTTATGTAGAGTACAGTCAAGCTAAAACAAACCACAAGGACCTAATTCATCATAACTATCACGGCAAGAGCCTCTTCCCCAGCACAGTGTGCTCTGACCACCCTACCTGCACTGGAACGACTTAAGGAGAACTCTACCATACCTTGGCAAGGACCTTCGTGGTATCCAAGTTTCCTTAAGAGTCACACCAAAATTGTGCCGTTGTTACTTCAGCCATGTAAGGAAAAAAGCTCCACACTTCTAGAAAGAAAACACAGCTCAGGAAGGTATCATTGAAAGGAGAAAGTCTGCATTTGAATTGAAGAAACAATAAGAAGCATTACAGCCTGAAAAGTGTGGGAACACAGAGAAGGAAGAGCAGTACACACCTCTGCCTAGGTCAGTCCATAGCTCTCTTCATAGATGTCCAAGAGAACTCAATGCAGAGAAAGCTATTAGTAAAAAATATTATTACTTAATATTTATGTAGCACTTTCCACCTGGCAATTTTTAAGCAAGTAATTTACCAAGAAAAATAAAAACATACACTGGCATTCTGTGTGATCAGTAGCTTAGGCTTTCAAAGGAAAACAAGTCTATTTTATCTTTATTAGAATTAAACTTTAAGGCCTGAATTTACTATACATTATTTACTGTTACATTTTAAATTGGCAGCGAGGTAATCAGTCAGGTCATTAGCTCCAAAATGCGTTTAACAGTGCATTTTGCTAAGTTCCCATATTAAGAAAACCACAGAAAAACCTGGAGATGTTAACATCTTTTTTTATCATTGGTTAAGAACTAACAAGTTAGGGCACTGTAATTGTTGCTTTTTTCTTTTTTTTTTAAATCCTCCTGAAAAATATCCTGCCTGCCAGCTTTGCCACCCTGGACTATTCTCATGCTGATGATGCCCAGTTAATGATTCTCCCTTATTTCAATTTGTCTTTTGAGATCTTTCTTAAATCATTTCCAGCTCCAACAGGGCTTCCTTTTTGTGGGTAGCAGCACATGTCAGCTTGGCACAGCTTTCCTTTTACACAAGTGCAAGATGTTTCCTTGTGTTAATACAGGAAGCTATCAAAGACATACTGTGGCTGGATATAAAAGCAGATTCCATAGCACTGGCCATCATTAGCATTTCTAGCCACCAACATTATGCTGATCTGCAAATAACTCTATTGGGACTATGATTTCAAAAATACAGTTCACATGCTCACTGTGACAGAGCAATTCCTGTATTTCAGATACGTGGTCTCTCTCTCATGGCCTGCAGGATGAGGGGGCAGCACACCAATTTTTCTTGCTGGTGAATTCAAACAAGAATCTGCTCTTTATGAGACACAGTGCAAACACAGGCAAATATGATGGCTGCATCCACTCAGTTCTGGGGGTTTTTTTTAACACATAAAATGGGTACACAAATTTAAGTGACATTCAGACTCCTGGCAAGTACCCAACCCACCGCACTGGTAACACAGATGTTGGGCATTTTTGAGTTGGGACATCATGGCAGTGAATCACTGAAAAAAAATCAGTGATTCATCCTGTCTTCTTTTCTCCCTTAGCAGTAGGGAGATGGATTTTCAGAGAGGGATAAACTTTCTATTCTCTGAGGTACTGAACATTGAGCAAGGTTGGATATAAGAAAAAGGTAGATGGTTAATCCAAGTAACTCTAGCAGCTCTTTAATATGACATCTTGCTTTTGTGACTTCTTTATTAATCTTAACTGTTAGAAATAAAAACAAGTTATATTGTGTGAGAGCATCTCGTGATTACTATATGTGCTCCCACAAATACAGTGGATACTTTATTTTTCCTTGAAGTTTCCCTTGCAGTTTCATATTTCCTCTGTGTTCCATTTGCATCTGGTGTTCTCAGATAACTTACACAGCCAGGAATTAAATAATATCTCGAAAATCAAAAGCAGAATTATGAGGCTCAATAGATCAGTAGTAAGTACAGTAAACACTTGACAAAAATACGGAGACAACTGGGGTCTGGAACCAGTCCCATTTTTAACACCTCTAAAGCGTCTGTCTAATTAGGTTCATTTTTTGACAAACAAGAGTGGGATTAGATCAGCATTACAGTTATAGCAGCCACATGACAGAACCTAGACAATTTTTGTCAATTTTTAGTCCTATACTGGCCTCTCATTTACAAAGCTCATGGGAGACTACACTACTTCCTCATGAGTATGAATCATCACGTTTACCCACATGTCAGAGTTAACCTACAGCGAAACTGCCATCTTTATAAATATTTCACAACATTTCAAAAATGGCATTCTGTCTGGGAGAAGGAGAGCAAGATCACAGCCCATTTATTCTCCCTCTTTTTTTCCTGGAGGGGAGAAGGGCAAAGTGAAATTCTGTATTTCAGATAACAGAGACACCATTCCTAACATATTGCAATGTCATATACTGAAAACATGGTCGGTAAACAACTGTAAGCCCCTACTTGTTCATATGACAAATATTTCACTGAAAAATGGAGCAACATCAAAAAGCTAGAAAACAAATGGTCATTCTCTGTCAACATTGCAGCTGGTATTCACGCAGGTTTAGATGAATCCACGAGACACTTCTTCAGAGCTTATCCCAGGTGTCAGTTCAGCAAGAAATCTGGCTCCCGATAACCAAAGAGTTTAAAATCACCTTCAAATCGTGCATAGAGGCGTCTTATGTCTCTCTTGCTAATTCCTGAAAAATACCGCTCTACTTTTGTTCTGTTGTACACTGTTATGCCTGGTGGAATGGTGGGGTATGATACCAGGTGGTCTATGCCGGCTGCTTTCAAGATATACGGAGCATCGTCCTCCAGGGTTTCATGGTGTCCAATCACACTGTACGTGATTTCACAGGGAGCGCAAAGTTCCACATATGTTACCCAATGAATGATGTGGTCACCAAACTGAACATCCAACCATCGGTGATTGGGATCACCGAGGTAGCGCACAAAATCCTCAAACTGCAGCCCTTTGGTCTCTGTGCGGTTCTTTCTGTATTTACGAATGATGCCGGGAGCAATTTCATGCCGGTACCAAGGTTCAAACCGAGGATTGTGCACAAACTTGTCTTTAAATGCAGAAATAAGTCTTTCAAATGGATCTCTAACAATAAAAAACTTGAAGTATAAATTCAGTCTAAACAGAGGAAGAAAAAAAAGAAATTAAATAATTAAGGAACGTGTTTAGCTAAGTGTTTAAATTCTTTTTAGCATATACTTACAAAACATACATAAACTGACCACACACATGGCAATGTGAATCCTACACTACTGGGATAGTCTAGCAATATTATAATCAATAGGACTAGAAATACAATTTGTGTCTTCTTACTGGCAGTTTTCGTATATGGTACAAAGACGAAATAGTTTATCCTAGTTTTCACATTTTATTCAACTGGAGGAGATTAGCTTATCTCAGAACATAAACAGGAGATAAAAGATGCTGAAAGCTCCAAATCAAAGGTATTTTTAATGCCATGTGATTAGGCTCAAAAAGCAAAATACATAAAGACAAGGGGAAAAGTCCCTTGGTGCAGCTAAATGCATACAGAGGGGTGCATTTTTCACTGGCAGGCAATAAGACAAATTGCTGCTTAAGTAAAAAAAAAAATCTACCATTTTATTTACTTTTTTGTTATGCTTTCAGTAATGGTTGACAACATCACTGAAATATGAGACTACAGTTTTCAACAGAATTTCACATTATTATTGTGATACTGTAATATGTAATATTCTGTAGTCAGAGATTAAAATAAATTGAAAACAAAGTTTACCTCAGTAAATAGCCGAAAAAGGAGATTGAGAGCCCAGCCCTCACTGAAATAAGTGGATGGACTCTTTTCAGCCTCTACAAGCACTTAAATCAGTCTTCAGGTTCTCCTGACTTACTCCTAGCCAGGCAGGGCTAGAGGTTAGCAAACTAGATCAACAAATCCACACCATCCCCTCTCTGTACACTTAAATTCTCTGATAAATTCAGAATTCCCAACCAATCCCATGTTATGCATCTCCAGCACAGCTTCTGTCATAAGCTGAATGCAACAACCCAAATCATAATGGCATTCAACTTTAAATATCCTAACTATGGCTCATCCTGCAGATGAACAGTTACTTTTATGCAGGGCTATTCACAGGGAGGGAGAACACATCCACGTTCTCAAGAACTTAGTGTCAATATCTTCTCTTGCACAGTATCAACACAAGCGACTCCAATTCCACAGGTACTGCTGTGATAAATGTATTTGTGCCACTGCATGCAACAAACCTTGCACTGAGCTCTACTGGCAGCTGACACATGTATAAGGGGCTGACTCTTCAAAATGGCTTAATACACACAAACCCCCTGTAAGCACATATTTACAAGTGTCCACTGCCATCTTATGTCCTGTTCTCTCCATGTTGCCACCCCTCACAGGGATTATATATGGCATAGGCTCTAGTAGAGATGAGAGCAGAGAGAGTTAAAAATCTAGCCAAAGTAATGTAGAAGGTTCTACTGCAGAGTATTTTTTCGGCTCTGAAAATAACTAGAAGCATCCAAACAGGAAGACAAAGTGGTTCAGCTGAACAGACAATACTCTCAGGCTAAGAGGCACTAACATTTCAAATCTAATTAGTTCAATCCCGGTAAGTCTGCCTGCAGTGACAATCTTGCCTGTAAGCAGTAATCATCCAAGGCATCATCCATCCTTATCATCCAAGGCATCAGGATGGACCTTCCAACTAAACCTTCCCTTCTGAAAGCCAACTATCTAACAATTACGTATGCATTGAACTATGGAAACCCTATATGCAGAGGGAGTTGGTTGGCTCACCTATCTGTATCACAAATTACACTGGTGTTCTCTTTGAAAGCCAGGAGAAAAGTAGACACAGCAACATCTGTGAGGATAATGGAATAGTGCTATAATACAACTGGTGGAGCAGAAATCCTGCTGTCCTCAATTCCAGATGGAGACTTCAGCTGTACCCCTGACTGCTCGTACCACCACTGACTCCAAACTCTGCCCACACCCATTGGAAGCCACCACTTACCGTTTTTTAATTTCAGAGTCACTGAAAGAGGACAAACGTGGAAGGCCGTTCTTCTCATGATCATGTACAATATTTTCTGGGATCTCTTCTATGGAAGAAAATGCCCCTAGACAAACCAAATCGGAGAGCAAGTTATTCTTTCAAGGGAAGAAACAGTGAGTAAAAGTAAGCGTGTGTGCCTTTGGCTGACACATTTATGTCTTTCTCTTTTCTGTATTCTTACCATTTACAGTTACTATGTGTAAAGCTGTTAAATTATGAGAGATTCTGACTGCAAAGCTAGAACCTGTTAAAATTCTTTAGGGTATGTGACATCAAGATCCAAGACCACATCTGCACTTCCCCATCCTGAACCTCCAAATAACTACTTATGTATTTGGATGTAAATTACTCCCCCTCAAGTATCAGTCCTGCCTGCTGAAACCACTCAAAGAGGAGAAAGTTGGGCCAACTGCAGCAGTAGCCTTCATCAGCAGATACTGGTACACTGGCAGCTTAAGGCAGAAGAGACAAGTGTTTATATAGAAACAATTTTCTATCATTATCTGACATGACTGAACTAGGAAGCTCAAGGTGAAAAGTTCCCTGCTGTTAAGACGTGAGTTATCCTCCACTCGGAGTAGCCAATACACCCCTGCCTGTCCTGAGGCATTCTTCGCATGTTATCTCCGACATCTGATAAGAGTAGATACTTCTAATGCACTCACATAATTCCATATTTAGTACTTTCTTTGTGTGTGGCTTTCATAGGTATTATGACATATGCATGCACATATAGGCATATTTCTGCTCAATTTTTACCTCCCATCCATATATCAAAGATGAAACTAATATTAAAGTTTTTAAACACATACTCCTTGCTACAAAGGTCTTGCTGAGGGACACAGTTCATTTGCCAGTTTGTGACTGTTTCCTTCTCTCTGGGTGCACAAACTAGTTCACATAAGGTACAGAAAACAAAAACTCAAGTGCAGAGCTGGCTGTTTGCAGGGCACTTCTAACAAGAAAGCTGGGTTTACAATGTTCAGGTTTTGCCTAGATCTTGGAAAATTATGCCACCTGCAAAACAACAGGAGGACATCAATGACGCAAATATCTGTAGCAAATTCACTGCCCTGGTCCACAGACAGGCAAGATGGTCTCATGTCAAACAAGGGTGTGTTAAATATGATCATGTTAAGTTTACATATACAGATAGTGGTACAGCACAAAACCCTGAGGAAATGTGTTATTTTTATTGGCATACCAGGCTACTAGAAGAGGATGGTAGCCTACATGTAGACAGGGAGTGTTCACCTTGTAGATAATTTTTCAAACACACTAGTCCCTTTACTCCTTTTTTCACAGTCTTTTATAACGTACCTTTGTTGACCAAACTGTTGCCTTAAGCACCTCAGAATCTTCATAATGGTTCACTGATAGAACATACACAAGATTTCAGCCGTACAGACTAACGGCAGCTGCCAAGTTTTAAGTAGCTTTCCTCATGGCTAAAAAACTCTAATTAAAGTCAGTGGCCTTTAGTAGAAATTTCTTATTATTGTTAATTAGGAATTATGACACCTTGTAATACTTTCAAATTTTATAAATTAGTGCCACCCCTTCAAAGATGAGAAACCTGCCTACCACATGCATGTGGGTACTCCATCATGACTCAAATCCCTTTTGAGCCAAGTAATAGCAATATTTATTTTCACAGAAAGAACGGGTCTATCTTATTTTAAAGGGATGTTTTGAAAGGACTAGAAGCAACTGTGATGAATGAAAGGCTGAAATTGAGTATCAGTGTACAGAAATGCAGAAAGAATCCATTTTTGTGTTGCTCCAATTAGACCAATTCCGTTCTCTCTTCCTCCTCCTCAAAGAAACCCACACACCCACAGCAGAGTAGATACCATTTAAAACAATCAAGACTTTTTTCCACTGAGTGTTGCCCACTTTTGGCGTCTGACAAAACAGGATCTTGTGCTTGTCACACACAAATATTCGGTCCAAGACGAATTTGGAAACTGCAGTGTGAGAAAGATCTCTCAATGCAGTGTCTCTGCAGATGTTCCTGAGAAGCTCAAGTCTTTCCATATGAACCAGGGGCTGGCGGATCAGATTTCCAGAAAAAGCTTTTCCAGTTGGCTTTATGAAATGCAGAGGGGAAAGAAAAAACAAAAGCGAAAGAATTTAGTTTTCAGATCAAATTCTAAAAAGCCCCAAGTAGCGCACCCTAATGACCCCCAGATTCACAATTAAAACAGTGCTATGTATTAACTAAAGGAGTAGCCCACAGTTCTTCCTGTCCTTCCTGTGCTACTGCTGTTGGTTCTGTACTCGTTGGTTCTTATCTTAACTCATTAGGTAGTAGGATACAGTAGTAAGAGCTTTTCCATACAATAATTTAAGTCTGCTGCAGAGCAGGAGGGTCTTATCTGTGTGCATAAAACATGCCTTGACCAAATAATGGAACTCCAACAAAGCTTCAACAGCCCCAAGGAAAGCTTCTGAGGAGTTGGGGACAGGAATTTCAACATAAATTATGCTTTAAACTCTGAGGAGTTGTGGCTGACCCATGGTGTGATTCTTGGGGATGTCCTGTGCAGGGCTAAGAGTTGGACTCGGTGAACCTTGTGGGTCCCTTCCAACTCAGAATATTCTGTGATTCTGTGACCCATGTGTCTGGAAAAGAATTTAGGATAAAAGTTCTGTGTTGTTTTCTAGCACCTGTAGGCATTCAGTGTTTCCATTTATCCAAGTTGAAATAAAATTAAGTGGACAATGAGCATCAGTGCTTACTGTGGTAAATAAAATAAGTAGGCAGGATACCTCTCCCCAAAGATGAACGAACTGTTTCATATGTCTCATTTTTCTGAGACTAAGACAGGAACCACAACCACCTCTTGCTGCACAATTAATGGGGAGAGAGGAAAAAGAAGATTCTCTGATTAAGAGGTGATGGGAAATTTTAAATTTCTACTGACAAATTTTCACCTTTCCACTAACTGATATACATAGTTGGCAATCCCCAATATCAATACAGACTAGAGGATGAACTGATTGAGGGCAACCTTGTTGAGAAGGACTTGGGGATACTGATGAATGAAAAATTGGATACGTGCTGGCACTGCATACTTGCAACCTGGAAAGCCAAACGCATCCCAAACCACATAAAAAAGCAGTGTGGCCATCAGGTCAAAGGAGATGATTCTCCCCCTCTGCTCTACTCTACTGCCACCTGGAGTACTGCATCCAGCCCTGGGGCCCCAACACAGGAAAGACATACACCTGTTAGAAAAGGCCCAGAGGAAGGCCATGAAGATGGTCAGAGGGACAGAGCACCTCTCCTATGAAGACAGGCTGTGAGAACTGGGGTTGTTCAGCCTGGAGAAAAGAAGGCTCCAGGGAAACCTCACTGCAGCCTTTCAATGCTTACAAAGGGTTTATAAGAAAGATAAAGAGATACTTTTTTCCAGACCTTTAGTGACAGGACAAGGGATAATGGTTTACAACTAAAAGAAGATAGGTTTAGATTAGACATTTAGAAATTTTTTCCTACAAGGGGGAAGCATTGGAACAGGTTGCTCAGAGAACCTGTGGATGCCTCATCCGTGGAAGTGTTCAAGGCCAGGCTGGATGGGGCTTTGAGCAGCCTGGTCTAGGGAAAGGTGTCCCTGCCCATGGCAGGGGTGTTGGGACTATATGGTCTTCAAAGGTCCCTTCCAACCCAAACCATTCTGTGATTCTATAATTTTAGGCAGTGTCCAAGCTATAGATGAAAAAGAAATGATTTTGCTTTTTGTCCCAATACTCCTTAAGGAAAAAATAATCTCATTCTACTTTTTTGGTTTGTCACTCTTCTCCAAGAATGTAATCTGAACAGTTTGTCAGACTGTTTATCTTTCAAAACAATTCCTTTTGCACGCAACTAGAATTAATGCTGTTATTCTACATTTCATGCTCCCAGGAATTCAAGAGGGAATAGTTTTAGATCCAGGAACCTTATTATCCTCTTCCATACAAGTAAAGGAAGATATTAAAACTGACTATACAGATCTGCCAGCCTTCCACTGAACAAAGTGTTTTTTCCAAACCTCAATTTCATGGGTTTTACATATGAAAACAAAAAGTGTCACATTTATATAGCTAACCTACCTTCTATGCTGCATCACAAAAGTACTTTAAACATAAGATGACTTATGTCATTAAGGTACCAATGCAAAAAAAGTTGGATTTTGCCCACTGTGCAACTGGTCTCAAATTTACATTTGCATAAGGGATTTTCAGAGTTTCCTTGTCAATTAGCAAGTACTACTTTATTGCTGAAGGCACAGAACTATGCATCTAAAGGATCAACTTGTATTGATTACTATTGTGTTCACAATCTACTTTGGAAAAATGCTGAAATGGAAAGCACGAAGAGCATAAAACATGAAAAAGAAATAGAGACTGACAAAAAGAAAGCAGAGAGTTTTGGCAGAGGACTAAGAGAATAGACAAGATAAAGGCTTGCCCTCAACAACCACAAACCTGATGGTTATGGCAAGGCAGAATACAAGTAATCCAAAACTGGGCCATTATATTAAAAAAAATGACAAAAAATTAACAAAAATTACTCTCCTGACTTGATAAAGGAGTACTGTAACAATTTTCTCCTAGAAATGGAAACATGGCAAGTTGAATCATTCAGATGAAACAAAACAGCAGATTACCGAAACAAACTAGCTTTGTGAAGTTAAAATGAATTCTGTCGGCTCTATTAAATAGAACAGTCTCAAAATAATTCATGTCTAGCAATTCATTTTAACAACAGGAAGTCCTTACTTAATCTCTTATTTTCACCTACTCTTTAATACATGTAACCCTTATCTCAGCAGTAAGCACCTGGAATTCTTCAGGCCAATGTTTTTCCTCTGGCGCATGTACCTCCTCCACTTTTGTCACAGCTGTCAGTATCAATGACTCTTGCCTGACACCGTAGCCTAAAGAAGGAAGACAGATAAGAGCATTACAGAAGGTGAGGGGAAGGTAACTACTTCTGCTTTATCGCTAACACAAATGAACATTACTTTCTGTATTAAGCTTACAAAACGTTAGGATTTGTTTCTACATGGAAAGGTATTGGACAACACACAAGACAGACTATGAATATTTTAAAGGATGCACACTGTAGGAATTTTGGATGCAATTTCAGCTGAGTTTTACCAAACATGCCCATTATCTTTTACTTGGGATCTTTTTCTTGTTTGTTTTTTTTTTTTAAAACAAACTGTGCAGAGACATGGTAATCTTGAATTCAAATGTCGCAGGTCACAGACAATTTGGTACAATGATATGGACTTGTGTGTAGCTTTTTATTTTTCAATAAACTTCCCAGAGCATGTCCAAATAAAAAACTTAATCTATAAGGTTTCTCTCTCCCTTATTATTAGTAGATAGGTTTCTTCTGCTGTAAACTCCTAAACTTATCAGAAGAAAAGTGTCATTAAGGACCACCTTTTATTTCTGTGGTGCTCTAAGTAAATACCTCTAACCAGCAATAAAGATCCCCTCTTCCCTTATTACTGGAATGATGGCCTTCCTTAGACAGTACCCTTAATAACAAACTTAGCTGATACTCTTGTGCTCTTTTAGTGATTTTAGGGCAGCTAATATTTTGAGACCAAATTAAAGCATCTAAGGCAAGAACCCTTTTCATCTTTTGCATACGGTATGGTACAGAAAAACTGAAAAATAACACAAGGCTGTAGCTTTAGTCTACACAGTGCAGAAAGATCAAAAATAATTTCAAGCAGATTTCTCTTATTACAAAGCAATAAATTATTTCTCCCTGAAAATTTATGTACATCCACATTGGACTACTTTTCCCTTCATACATCTTCTTCAATGAATAATGTTTCTTCGTCTGCATCCACAGGGGCTTACTGTTTTATGGTTGAGAAAATATGTGTACTCCCTGTGTTCTTTACTTAAGGCAGTACTCTACTCTGCTTACACTGGATTTTAACAAAGGGCACGCATGGAGAAACAAGTTAGAATTGAAAGCAATGTAAGCATGCAGCCAATCAGATACTGTAATTACAGTTGTGTGCAGACTTACTTCATGGTATTCTTTTGTAAAATAATTTGATTCAGTAGAAGAGCAGGTCAGGTATTTTTCATTATCATTGTGTAAAAGCATGCCTACAGATGCTACTAGCGATGGACAGAACATTCCTCTTTCTCATTAAGAAGTTCCTATTGCTCATGCTACCCAAGACGTCGGTAAAAGGCTTAAGCAAAAGAACACTGATTCCTTGATCATCTGCCAGTTTTATTCTATCTGCTAAAAAGATACATCCAAATAAGGAAAATTTCTGACAAGCCATAGTTTATTTAGTCTGGAAGAGTTTCTCCAGGATTTGCCATCCTGTTTGGACTTCCTCCAAAATTCTGTTGGTATATTCAGAGTACATCCCTTTATTAGTTCTATTTCAAGCACTGGTATCTCCAATACATACATACACTTAACCACACTCATGCCTTTGCAGGGCAAGCTTGAGAGTTTATACATTTTCTGCTCAGAGAACTATTCAAAAAGAGAGGAAGATTCAGTATAGAGAAAAAAAAAAGAAAAATGGGCAAGCCAAGGTAATAAAAAGCAAGTAAATGCAGAGGGTATAATCTAAAAATTTATTTTTTAAAAAATACATTTTAATCTTCTTGACAAATTCTGGAGGAAAGGACCACTCAACGAATAAGTGAACTGTGAAACAAGACTTGGTATAGAATGAAATACTGGAAGATACAACTACATAACATAAGGTCAGCTGATTTGCAGATGTGCTAGGGCTCAAAAACAGTTGGGTCCAAGGAAAGCTAAGTTAGCCTACAGTTCTCCTCTGTAAGACTTTCTGAACACATCTCCAAATAGAGGCATGCTGTTTATAAAGGTACACCTGATATATTTATCCAGTTACATAATATGTTATCAAGTTACTGAAACATGGCACCAGTGATGTCAGCGCTTCAAAAATTACAGATTTTTTCACATATCTTAGGAAGATGCAGAAACACAAATCTCTTAAGGCTGTCATATCATCACCTTCACCCAAAACTCTCTGTAGGATGACTTTGTAACAGCAGCTGCTTAGCAGACTGAAAACTGTGCTGTGTGGTGTCATCAAATGGCTTAAATTCCTCATCAGCTTAATAACATCTGGGCTACTTAAGCTAAGCAAAAGCCCGTAAGCTGTTTGTAAGTCAAACAGCAGAGGATAACACTGAATGCAAGAAGCAGGGCAGAGGTGGCTACACAGACTGCACTGCAAAGGAAATAAAACTTTCCACAAGTTTTACATAATACCTCAGTCACAAGACAAGCAGCCACGAAAGGACAGAAACTAATATCACGTGAAATGAACTCTTCAATACCTTGTGAGTCTCCTTTGGGTTTAAGCAGGTAATTGTGCTCTCTTGTTTTGCTCAACATCTACCCCAGTAGATCGTGCTACTGAAACTAAATGTACTTGAAAAAGCTGACCTAAAAGACAGTACTTGCAAACATGATCCCTTCTGTTCTTAAACACCAAAGAAAAGACATGATGTTAGTTTTCCAGAATTATACCAAGAAAAGCAGGAATTGAATATCAGCCGTGTCACTTCTAGAAACTTAGTTGTTCTGTTCTCAGTCCTACTGAAAAGTGGTAAACATGCTAAGAGCTACTTTTCACAGAAAAGAGTATTTGTGTGAAACACTACTCAATTTTCTGTTTCACATCAAAGTTGAACTTACCATCTGGGTCTTTAAAAGTCAACGTGATAAACTTGCTAGCAACCATGAACATGAATATCACCCAAAAGCATGCAGCTAGCAGCAGCCACTGGTGGTGCATGTTGTCAGGCATGAGCCATATAAAGTTGATGTTTCCTGTTTGAAAGAGGAAAGATTGACACATTAATTATTTTTGTCCCAGTTTAGAAAAATACTTTCCATAACCAAAATGCAAAAACCAAAATGTGCATGTGTGTCATAAAACATAGTAGTAGATTTCACTTTTTACTTTTTGCCTATTCAGCTGGGTTTTCAACTAGTGTTAAGGCTGAGGCAATGTAACCACCAGCTGCTATCAAAGGGAGGCTTCGCTCCTCCTTCACCCCTACATACACATTCCCAGCTCCCTCCTTGTACTGGCAATAGCACTGTCTATCTCTCTGGGGAGACAGATCAGCAAAACCCATGATTTTTTTACAGCATGGTTTATTTTTCAATTTAAGTAAGCAAGACAGGTCATTGTAGGAAAGGCAGGGAGAATGAAGAAAGCTGCGCTCTCAGTGTTAGATGTAACATTAACACCGTACTTGGTTATCCCAAGTCACCTCAGGACATATAACACTAAGCACCATCCACGCAAATAATAAAAAGGGTTTCCTTGCAGCAGTGCCTCCTACCTGTAGCTGCATCCCTGCAGGTAAGCCTCACAGATAGGACTTCCCCAGGACAGCAGGAAGAGTTACCCAAACAATTGAGACTGCAGATTTAATGTGCAAAGAAACCACCCACAGGAACTGACAGAATCCAAGCAGAGTGAAGATGAGGATACTGCACAGTATTATGAATGCAGCGTCTACCCTGCCTCGCAGCTTTAAAGTCTGCTGTACTGCTCTTAGCACTTCTATCCTGATTTTTCAAACTGTAACCCTAATAAATTATTTTTTTATTATTAGAAGTTAAGATTAAATATAAGGAAACCCATGACAAAAAAAGTCCCCAGCCATTAAGAGAAACGTATCATTTTAAGCTACATCTTTCACTGCTTCTGATGGGCAATACACACAGGGGCTGCCACCGAGTATCTGTGAAAGCTCCACTGCAAAAAAACTCCAACAACCCACAACAAAAACCTAACAGCAAACATCATCACTTACATACCAAAATCTGAGACTTCTCAGGTTTGAATATTTATCCTGCAAAAATACAGCACCATTGTCTCTATTGTTGCTGGAGAGACAGACACCTGAGGGCCTGAACTCAGGTGCTGGAAAGTTAAAATGTAAGTGAATGCTTCCTTTTGAGGACACATGCAACACAACATCAAAACACTTAACCAAAGGGGATCTAATACAAAAAAATCTCATACAATGACATCCTCACAACAATCCTGTGAGATTTGTGTTTGTAGCCTCAGGAAGAACAAAAATCCAAAATCACGCATGCAACTATCAATAGGATCAAACTCACTCCTAAAGTAGCCACATGCAATTTCAAAGAGAGTCACGTCTGCATGGTTTGTGATCACAATTTCTATACAGCCATTTGAGTGAATTACCAGGGAATAAGCCATATGCCCTCATTCCCATTTAAGATGCTAAAAATGTGCTAATATATACTTCTAAAGAAATTTATATTGAGTTTTTCAGTCATATACCAGTATTCCACCTTCTTTGTTCCCACAAAGCTTCAATAACAGAAGTAAGCCTGGTTTTGACGTTGTTTCAGCATGTCCATCTGCAACATCAGTACTACTGCTACAGGTGCCAATCACTTTTCCAACTACCTTTTGCCTTCCAGCAATGCAAATGTTTCCAGGAAGGGTTCTCACTGTAGCAGACAGAAGTGAAATGTCTTCAGGGTATGTTGAAAGCCTGTGCAGGCAGACAAGCAGATCAAAACAGATTTAGGACCAGAAGGATGTATGCAAAATGGGTAAGAAGAGGAAAAGAACAGAATATCACAAATAAAAAAAAATCATAATTTTTAGCAAGGATGGCAGTGTTCAGGCCTAATTTTATTTTCTCAGCTTGGTTTTTGAAAGATCCTTTTTTTCCTCCTCTTTTATGGTTTCATTCTCCTATAAGCACCACGCTTAGGTAAAAAGATGCATCAACTGTCTTTTGGACAATTACAGGTGCTGTGACTTCCATGAAGACAACATTTGTCATTGCCTATTTTCTGATGCAATTCCCCAACTGCCAGTTGAGCGTGCATGAATTCCAGAGGACTGACCTGTTTCCAGCTAAGCAGTTCAAAAGTTATTCTCTATCTACCATTGCACTTGTACAAAACTTGCCCTAAGATTCATGCTGACAACCACTAGGTCTCAAAGGTCCTCATTTTTCAGTCTGCCATGACATCCACCATCTCCCACTTTAAGCACTGATATTTATCTTTCAGACCTAATGATCATTTGAAAAATTTTCTAACTCTCACAGATGAGGGAAATTTAGATCAGATATCAAGACACAAAAATGTAGTAATGACATTTTTGCTTTTTAGGTAGCTCTGCTAAGCCATAAGAACCATTCAACACTCAAAAAACAACAGAACCTCAGTTCAAGGCAGCAGACTGACAGAAGCTTTAAGAGGACACTCTGCAGGAGGAAATTTCTTTCTAACCATCAGCTATGGGCTTTTCAGACATATAATGAAAGGTCTGGGCCAGACCTTTCTATCCAACTCAGTATATTTGTTCTGCATTAAGAAGGGTAGAAACAGCCTCCAACATTCATAGCATCCCTGCTAGTCTGCCCACTTTTATAATGGTGATGGATACATACCATTCAGTAAGACCTATTGATCTATATCCCCTTATGTAATTTACGTATTGGATTTCTAAGAAATTGCGTTAAATGACATGGGAAAAGCAATTAGCATACACAGGACTGTGCTGCCAGGTCCTGTGCTGTAGGGATAGAACATTTCAGCCAAAATCACCCAGAAGCATCTCCGGACTCAGAGAGCAGAAAGGGAGTAGAATTGCAGTCACATCCATAACCACCACCACTATTACCCTTCAATATGTTCATGCTGAGAGGAAAATGTAAAGCAGCTTTGTCTGCTTTTTTTTTTATGCACGCAGCAACTCTGCAACCATACTTATCAAAGTAATAGTCTTGTCAGAGGATCTCTCATAATGTAACTACAATGCCTGGCACTGTTACTCACTTCCAGCATCCTACACTACATCTGTATCAGCAGCTTACCACCGATCTCAAGAAGCAGGACTATTCAAAATTATATATAGGAGTACCTCAACCATTACACTCACTTAAATGCAATGATCAGTATTTTTTTTTTAAATAATGTGTTTATGTCTCCCTTTCTCTACCTACTTTAATATTTTTATTGTTTTCACATACGGTAATTGCACTTCCTGCTTTATTCTGATATTACTGTATTTCTGTCGCCTCTCCTGTTACTTATTTTCTAGTGAATACATGTACAAGCTACTGTTTTTTCTCTATAATAGTTTTCTTCTGCTTCCAAAAGTGTCTGTTACTTCTTGTTGTCTAAAACATTTTTTTCTTTACAAGTAGAAGAAGCAAAAAATATGTTGAAGGTGTAGTCCATTTGCTCACAATGAAATACACTGTGAGTTTTCCAGTTACTCCTTCTCCCGCTTATTACAATTCTACACTTTTTAGGAGCACAAGATCCCCAAAACTCCTCTCTCCATCCATTCCTCTGTCCTTCCCTCTCAGGGCTACTTAGCACAAACTGTCACATAACCCTCAGGTTAGCCAGATGCCAGTTTTGCAAGAGAAAAAAATGGGACTGCAAACACAAACAAGAACCAAAGATCAAGACACAGAGTTGCAGGCTTGACCCATGGCTCACGAGTAACCTGCTACCTCAAATAAACACTCATACTTTGCCAAAGACTGCTGTCTTCATGGGAATGATGGGATAAAGTGCAGAACATTTAACATTAAAACTCGGTGCACGGACTCTGCTCTGCAGCTTGTGCTGCTTGGACTGGGGCTCCTTGGCAGGACAGTGCCTGGGGGAATCATGACTGGCAGCAGCATGCCAGTAGTCCCAAACTCCCAACTCTTTGCCCATCTGCACGTGATTAATGATGTCATTTCAAATGGAACTGGTAATAAAGGCCAAACAACAGCTAGCTGGGATAACTAATCCATTTTCATCAATGTCTCCTATGTGGTATCTTAGAGGTGAGAGATCTGGCCAATTTATTACACTTTAAAAAAATCTTGGATCAAAATCTGTCACACAGGCTCCTTTGGCAAGTTGTGTGGTGCAACTAAACAATGTTACATTATACTAGGCCTTTCTGGAAACTGGTAATTTCCTAAGGTTTTTCTCCTCCCGACGGCACGAACAGGCCCGTGGCTCTGCTCTTCCAGCTCCTGCTGGAGAGGGGAGCTCTCCCTGCGCACGCACAGGTCACCTGTCAGCGGGATGGGAACCAACTATGGGAGCAGCAGCGCCTGCACCGCTGCGTGACCCACCTCGGCCCGGGGCAGGCTCGGGAACGGGACCCTCCTCCACCCCAGCACGCCGTGCCCTGTCTGACAGACACCAGCTCCCACTCCAGCGGGCACCCCACGCTCTTCACAGCCGGGAACGGCAGCAGCTCCTCTTTCGCCACCGTCGGGGCTTCCTGGGGGCTCCACTCATTCCGTAAACACAGGAGGGTCCCCCCCAGGAAGCCGGGACACGGCCGTGATCTTACAGGCAGGGGACGAAACGAGGCAATGCCCACCCCCAGCCCCGGCTCCGGGCGCAAGGACCTGGGCTGAAGAGGCGTGAACTTTTCCCGTTCCGGAGGAGGAAGCAAGGCGGGCTTCTTCTCACCCCCGGCAGGGATGGATAAGCCATGCCCGCAGCGCCCGCCGCCTTCCTCGGCCGATCCGGGGTGCCGGAGGAGCATCTCCCAGGGACTACCGGCCGCCAGGCCTCCCCCGCCCGGGCCCCTGCCCGGCCCTCCCCGGCTTACCGGCCCTCCAGCGCCGCTCCCCGCAGCGCCGGGGTCCCGCCTCACTCGGCGGCACGGCCGGCCCGCTCGGGCGGCCCCGGCTGCCGACACATCCCCCCCGCCCGGCTGCGGGCGGCGGCGGCGCCTCCCCGGGCCCGCTCAGCCCCTGCTGCCGCCGCCCGGCCCTGCCACCACCGCCTTCATTTCCTCCCGAGGCCGCGGGCAGGCCCCAGCCCCGCCGCCGGGAAGGGGAGGAAGATGAAGGCCGCCACAGGAACGGCGCGGCTCGGCTCGGCTGCGAGAAGACGCAGCGCCGCACCCGGCCGCCCAGAGGCGGGAGGGGGAGGGATGGAGGACGGGCTGGGCGGCTCTGCCCTTCCCTCCCTTGCCCTCCCGTCCCCGCCTCGTCTCGGCCTGGCGGGAGCGGGGCGTGCGAGCCCGACTCGCGTAAATACACGTGTATACGTATGCTTGGTTTGGTTTGGTTTTTTATTTACTGTTCAAAAAACCTTTAATAGGTCCCTAACGCTCGTGTTTAAAAAAAAAAAAAAACAAACCACACAACCCCCCAACAACAACAACAACAAACCTGAAAATGAGAGAATCACAGAATCATTTTTATTGGAAAAGACCTTTAATACCCCTCGTCCTGGCATGGCAGATGCAAGGCGGGTTTAGGCTCCAGGAGGAGAGGAAAGGTGCCGTAAAATGTGGGAAGAACAGCAGTAGTATGAAGGCAGGTGTCTGAGCCCTGCTGTACAGCCCAAAGCCCTGCCCGGGCTCCTTTCCCCCCAAAGACATGATGTAGTAGTGCACACACAGTTGCTGCACACAGCACTCTGATCACTGGACCGGAGAGATGCTCACCTGCAGGACTCTGATACCTGCAAATCCCATCAAAACCGAGTGCTGGTGATGAGTCTCTTTTTAACAACTATTTAAACAAGTCCTCTTGGGCACGTTTTGCAGTCTTACAGTGCACTCTTCCCTTTTAGAGGGGGATTTAGAGCCTCTGATCCATGCATTTTCAGACTTGACTACCATGCTGCACTTTGCTAAAGCCCAACCAAGTCCAAGGATGATGTCATTGGTATGGATGCCACGGTCAACCTATGGAGCAGAACAGGCTAATGCAAATGTCTTAGCGGCCATGTGTTCAGTGCTATGTTGACGGCTGCTAGCCCTCAGTGAGGCAGCAAAAGCATAGCTTTCACTGGGAACCAATGGCCAAAAGCCAGTAATCAGAAAACCAATTCTCTACCTGACTCTATGTTTGTTTGTAACAGCATCTTGGGACACCACATTCTTGTGCCTCCCTTCCTCTACCTGTGAAGTAGAAATTGTGATAAGTGACAGTTACTTTGTTGGCAAAGCATATTGGAAATCTGTGGCTGTCACCAGTTTGAGTCTTGAACAGGCTAGAAAGTTGCTCCTTTCTTCAGGCTTCAAAGCAATGACTACAACCGCAGCCACGCAGATTTATTAATAAGCTGTCTCCAGCTGTGGAACTAATTCCTGCCAGATTATCAGGCTCAGCTCAAGAATTTTAACCTTTCAAGTATGTTGTTACTGACATGTGTAATAATTAATCCAGTACAAAAGAAACCAATTTTCCAAACTAAGCACAGTTAATAAGCTTTGTTGTCAGTAATTGGGCCTGAAAGTGTCTGATGAAGTTGAAGAATGTGTTGCATAGGCAACTGTACTGTTGGATTATGCAGTTGCTAGTTCAGGCCAACAGGATTCTTGCTACTAATAATGTTAAACTGTTAGGTTTAGTACTTTAAATAGGCAGCAAAATCAACAGTTGAGTGTGAGTTCTTTTTAATACTAGAGAACTTTTACATTGTCAGAGCAATGCAAAGGATAGTTGAGTTGGTGAAAAGTCACTCTTCCCCTCTCTGGGACATTCTAGAGTGACTTCTTGAGAGATATGCCTCTGTAGCCAATGGAAGTGATGCATCCATTTTTTCTTTACGAACATGGGCCTAAATCTAAAAAATTCATCTTAATAACATGTTCAGTGTTTATGCCATTAGAAAAAGGTTTGTATGTCCTAATTAAATATGTCTTGTATATCTTCATTCCAGGTTTGACGTTTCTCCTGGAAGAGTCTTACTTGCAAGAGATTAACATTTGCAACTTGGCCAGTCAGGGAGGACTGAGGTGGTACTGGACATTTGAGCTGCAGGAACACATTCAAGCATTATAAGAAGTTATCTGTCAGTGGCAGGCTGTCTTGACTGCTCTTGGTATGAGTTAATTCCAAATAGCATTTAAGCATAGCAAAAATGTTAAAATGAGCCCCTGTCGTGGGCAAGATAAGTAATCATACTGCAGTTTGCATTTGAACACTCCAGCCTAATCACACTGAAAGAATCCTCATTTTCCTTGACCTTCCAAGCTTATCCTATTCAGCAGAAGCCTAGGCTTGCCAATACTGTTCAACTTACACTGTTTATTTTTCACCCTTTGGTGTTATTTCAGGTTTTAATCCCATGCCAGTTACTAGGATTAGTCTTGGTAGCCCTTTTAGTCATGCTTTGTTTCCTTAAGAGCTGACCTTAAGACAAGTCACTTGGTTCTGCATCAAGTACTCAGGAAGAACAAATCTTATTTAAATCAGCAGGAAGACATGCTTTTCCTAGCGCAGTGCCATTATTAGTGAATTCATCAATCTGCTTCATGACTGTATTTCTGAGGCATAACTGATCACTAAAGGAGATCTCTTGTGTACAAGTGTCTTGCTTTGCAGCTGGTCAGACATGGCACCTTTGGTATGTAATACATTTATCAAGATGTGATAGTCACCAGCAGATTCTTTTTCTGGAACATAAGGGAGCTTATTTAAATGTGGTTCTGGTTGATACAAATTAGAACATATAGAATACCTTGTGGCCTCTATAGTCACTAAGAAACACATCAGAAATAAAAAAAAAAATCAGGCCAAGGAATACAAGAATATACAGCCTCATACAGATGTAAGATTTTCTAGTATGGCCTAAATATAATACATAAAGTAGTATGTATTTCCTGGATTATTTTTTATATAAAGCAATTTCAACTAGCAATGACCTATAAAGTGCATATCAAACAGAGCTGGTGCATAGAAATGACTGAGGTGTGTGGAGAGAGTGGGGGGCCTTAGGGCTGATATCTGTAGTAAAATCATACTGGCTGCAGTAGGGGCAAGATTAGATCCGTAAGCAGCAAATCAGATGTGTTCATTTGAAGATTAAGTTCACTTCTTATTTCAGGGTAGAAACAAATTTTACCCCATGATAAGTGCCTTGGAATTGTTAAATCTTTTCATATCATTACACCATTTGTTGCCCTTTGAGAAGGACACAAAAAGTATAGACTGAGGTAAGTAGGTCATTAGCTGAACCATCTAATTTATCTTGCATTCTTCAGACACTATCTCTGAGCTGATAGTTTGAAAAGCAAAAACAGCTTTTCAAAGGTTTGTTAATAGCAATGAACCAAACGTGCTGCTAGGACTGGGCTAGAGGAGCTAAGAACTACATTTAATTATCAAATCAATGTCAATTAAAATTGAACTCAATGATTCAAAATTAATTATATAGGTCACAAAATGAGTGCAGCCAAAAAGCAAATTATCATGTCAATGTATCGAGGTAAGTCAATTCTTTAAATAAAAATCAGAAATAACAATAGAGTTTTAAGTCCCAGTTATGGGTGTTTTCCAAAGTAGAGAAATTAAGAAAATTGACTTAAGCAATTAGTGTTCAAACCAAGTTACTATCCTTCAAAGTAACCTGCTACCCTCTTTTAACCCTCTCCTTTCCCCATGGCCTGAATCAGACGGCTGGATTTACCAATTTTCATTTCTCTCTATAGCTGGCAGAGTCAAACTGGCAAGCAGCTGAGTCTTAAGTTCACCTGCCGCATTCACCAAGGTACAATTTCCAGGTGACAAAGTTGCTGTGATACTGCAGGTACAGTGCTCACTGTTACATCTGTGACTTAGATTCCAATGAGGGCAAGCTGCATGTACTCATGCACTGTTCTGTGCCTCAACAGGAGTTGCGAGATTGGCATTGCACAGACAGAGTGCCAGAACTGCTCTGGCACAGATAAAGAAGCAAACCAGGTTTTTAAGGGGTTTTTTTTTGTCATTGTTTCTCAAAAGAGAGTATTGGGTGGAGACAGCAGTGCTACTCTAAGCCAATATTTTTCTTTGCCAGTGTTTGAGATCACATTCTCAAATGTTGAAAAAACACATGAGGACAACATGGTAAGACGCAACTCCTGACTGACCTGATACCAGTGGTGCTACATTATCAAGAGTTGGGAGAGCTGTTGTCTTCTATTTGATTATCACTGCCTTAGAAAACTGACCAGTTTTGGGGTAAGCAGAAATACCTGAAGGAAGCTGAGGGGTGACTTGGGTCATGGGAGTGTAAGGATAAAAAAAAGAGGTGGACGCAGGTACAAAACCCAGGTCCCATTTGCTAATGAATGCATGTAGGATCAGAGTATTTCACATTAAGTGGAACAGCTTTCACAGGGATATTGAGTGCTTAAAATAATTTATAACTTGCTGGTTGGAGCTGGCTCTTAGGAGATGGCAGTTGTGGTATCTATCAGGAGAAATTTGAACATTTGTTTCCCATATACCAGTAGCTCCATAATTAACTAGGAACAGCACCACTCTCGTGAAGGCAAGAAAAAAATGTTTGTGCTACAGCTACTAGGAGATGCAAGTCTAGAAGTGTTATCCAAACTGAGGAAGGCAAGTCAGAGAGGGCTGGGACTTCATAGCTCTTGGCATGTCCTCCTGGCCAAGGCAGTGCAAAGGCAGACTGTGCTCTGGCATCAGGGAGTCGCTCCCCAGGGAGGGCACATGTCCTCCTCCACGGTGCAGCCTCTGTCCCATGCTCCAGACTATGGTCCTCTGGGAGCATGCTCCTCAACCAAGAATAATTTTGGAGCTATTTATGTCTGACTGTTTTCAGTGGAAATTAAGGGTCTGTCATTTTACAGAATCTGGAGCTTAGTCCATAGTTTCCTTGATTCTTTATTTAAAAATAAAAAGAGAAACACAAAGTGAAAATGCCTTGTGTTTTTAGGGGGTTATTTTGCTGCCTTCCTGAATGAGAGTTAATGATGTTACCATGTGTCCTGTAATTCACCATACATGTTTGCATGACACAATACTAAAAAAAAGAAATGGGAGAAGGAAGTTCCCCAGTCAACATGTAGACAAAAATAGGGATAGGAGGAAGAATTAAGAGAGAGAAGTTGGATTGTTTAGAAGAACACGGCCTTTGGAGTTGCAATACTGAGGTCAACAGAATTCTTCAGTCACTGAAACTTATGTTGAAGTTTCTTGCCCTTGAAAAAAAGACATCAGGCCCACAAGACCTAGCCTTGCCTTGATTATCTCTGGTAAATTTTATTTCCTTCAGCTTAATGTTTCCCAAGATATTAGTCCACAGTCAGTCTGGGGCTGCAACAATAAAATCTTGTTCTCACTAAGATGAGAACACATGGGGGATTGTCTATTTGAAAATTCCTATTTCTAAAATTAGTGTATTTTAACCAGCTTTGGCAACCACCACCAAGAAGAGCCCTGAAAATATGAGGGGCTGGGTAAATAGAAAGTTTTATTGACACAGCTTTCAGCCTTACTACAAGGAAAAGGCTTGAGAGTATAAGATTATTTCAACATGTAATGTGAAGCTTTGACATCCCCCAAAGTATAACTGATGGTTAGCAACCAGCTTCTCCATTTATTCAGCTCACTGGAAGAGCAGTTGATGTTTTGGAACTGTGTGACCATCAGCCATTCATCAAACCTTATGTCAGCACTGGCCATGATAGCTCAACCATGAGAAGCATTATGGCTTATCTCCAGGAGTTTCTTCATCTAAAAAGAGGGAGAATGATTTTACATCTTCTTGCTATGTATTCAACTTAAATGAAAGAAGATTAACAAGATGAAATCTGTGTTCATAGACAATCTCTGAAGAGTATTATAATATACTCAGCTACAAAGTACACAGTTAAATGAATAAGTCACTGTTGCTATTGCAATAGGTATTTGATAAATGGCAATACTGAAGGTGCCAGCTTTATACTTCAAACAAAGTAATTGTTGTTTAATGTTTAATGCTCTATATCCATCACTGTAGCGTTCAAGAAAGTATCATGATGTGTTTTTTCAGGTGATGTTGCTCTAAATTGCAAAATCTACAACTGAGCTCAAAATGATGAAATGAAATAAAAAATGAGCAAGCCAAGGCAAAATGTGTTTTTCAAATGTGAACTAAATATTATCTCAAAAAGCAGATTTTTTTGGTGGTTCAGGATACCATCTCGTAGCAGAGATCCTACTGACAGGACTCTTTTCTCAGTTCCTTTATAAATATTGTGGGTATTCCAGAACAACTGTATTAAGCATTCCTCCCCTTGCCATCTAACATCATAAATTCTTATTCCATACAATCTTTTTTGACCATTCAGAGCCAAACCTTCCCTTTTCTTAGGCTGTCAGTTCTTGTTCAGGGCACTAGGTCCTCTGTTCATCTTCAGGGTCAGCTCACAAGAGTCTCTGAGAATCACTATTTCTTTTTTCAGCAAAAGGGACACCCCAACCCTGCATTTGGAAGCATTGCACCATTTAGGCATGTTTCCACAGCAACACTGTCTATTTTAAGTTGTATCACCAGAAAAGAAGGAGGCTGCCATCTATCCACCCACTTACCATCTCCCTCTAGACATTCTGTCCTTTTGTATTTTACATCATTTAACTAGTGGGCTTTCCCTGGTTTGGAAAAAAAACCCAACAAACCCAACACCAGAGCAGTTAGCATGTACTTTGTTGTGACATCATTCTAGACAAATCCTTGATGAACACTCAACCGCAGGTATTGACTGAGTTATCTCATGGGTTGCCTAAGCAGAAGAACATACTGCTTCCTTGTCCAGCTGGAGCAACACTGAATAAAATTAAGCCAAGTCAGAGTTCTAGGTTGAAGATCTTTTCAAATGTCTTGATCTGTACTAATTATACTGAACTTTCAGCTCAGTGTAGCCCAATGCAGTCCATTGCCACAGTACTACTTCCACACAGCACAACCTGGTAGGTGCAAATTGCTTCATTTCAAAGGATTTTACACTTCTCTGTCTCAATGTTGCAGACATAAAATCATGTTTCTCCAAGAAATTAGCCAAGAAACTACCCAAAAGAGTACAAATGTTGAGATTCCTGCTGTAGTTTCCTAACTTCCCCATTAGTATCCATTCTCCATTTTGATGCCCTTGGTTAACTTCTTGTCTTTGAACTCCTACTCTATGAGACACGTTTTTACTGATCCCCTTCAAATATCTACTTGTTGGTGTACTCAACTTTAAGACTGTGGCTTTATATCTGTAAAGTACAACACACTAAACTCGGCCTTGTATTCAGCATAAGTAGGCACTGTCATGTTTAATAGAAGATGAGTAGTGGGAGATCTCTGCAGGCTTTGTGGCAGGTTTGCCTAATAAACACCCTCTGGTTTCTTCAGCTTTCCTCATCTTTCGAAACGGGTCATGGGTGAGGTATAAAAAGCCCTCAGAGCAGGATAAGGCTTTGTACCAAGCACTGCTGAGCTGCAGAGAGGGAGATGCATGAGAAAGCAGAAGGAGCCAGCTGGAATGCCATTTTACAGGCTCTGTCCTTGCTGTCTGTGATAACTGCTGATTTCATTGCAGAGATCATTTACAAAAAGGAAGAGAGCCCTTCACCCTTTTTGTCCACTGATGCCAAATTTTCTTGTTATTAATTTATCAATCACAGCATGTTTTATACTAAAATTATGGGTGTCATAATATTGCTGCTGCTAAATATATGCCAAGCCTCCTTACCATAAAAAACCCTCATTGACCCCCCACTAAAGCTTAATTTTTAAGTCATTTGTGAATCACTGTGGGCACTGAAACTCACCCTATTTCTCTCTCTTTACGTGGGGAGCCCAGGACCTTAAAGCAGAAATTTTATTTTTGCAGTAAAAGTATGGCTCATTAATGTGGCTTGGTGTTGATATATCCATTGGGAGAGCTGCACCTTAGCTAACACCTTTGAAATGAAATGTACAGCAGCAGAGAAAGTTCTGATTTAAGGAAGCTGAATGTGTTCATAATACGACATGCTCATCTATTTGAAATTTTGGTTTTAAACACTTTTCCCATTCTTCTCTCATACCACACAGACTGTGATAAAATACTACTTTCAGTTTGGTGACAGGTTGTACTGGTTTTTTTTAATGGAACTTGACTGAGTTAATTTTTATCTCATCTTAGCATAAGCCTCATGTGATGCAAATCCACAGGCTTCACTGCACCAACATATAGGCAAAATTTGCTGAAGGAAGACACAGAGTACACATAGGGTACTCCCTGGGAAAGGGTGAATTAAAGCAGCAGATTGTTTATTGTGCATGAGAACGAAGAAGGAAAGGTTCAGGTAGCATCCAGTATTTTATGTCAGGGAGAGGTAGATTTTACCCACCCGACATGATCACACGCCTCTTTCCCTATGCTATTACAAAAAAATCCCACTACTGAACTCAGATATGTTTAAATACTTTGAAAGGGGCTACTATATAACTGGCTGTGTGGGAAAGAAGTGGGAATTTAAGCAGGTAATGAGTTGCCTGAGAAAGAAAGCAACAGACTGTGCCTTTCTTACCAGACGGGGAAAACAGAGAACCACATCCCATTACAGTGAATAATCAGTGGCAATCTTAATCTGGTAATAATTTCATAGTATTCTCTAGAAAAAGGTAGGAAATATTTAGAATTTAAAAGTATTGGTATCTCATATGCTAATACTAAAAAAATAGTAGCAAACAGTGAATCTATAATGACTTTAAGATCCTGCATTTCTGCCGCATGGGAGTGAATTGGATGAAATATCTGTGATAAGCATGGCAAGAGAAACACTGTTGGTGAACAATAATTTTCAGTTTGGTTAAAGTGTCAAAAGACAGAAAGAAGACAGTTAATATGAAAATGTACAGTCCTTCAGAGTATATTCTCTCACTGTCTACCTCTGATGCATTCAGCTCACACTCAGCTCTGCTTTCACATTTCGGTGACTACATTGGCTTAAATGAAATTACACCAAACACGAACCTGCTTCTTGCTGCCGTGAAAAACAAATTGCCATCCTCCTTTCACTCTAGGATTTTATGGGCTTGGACAGAAAGCAGGGTCATTGCAGCATGGAGCTATGGGCTTCTTGGAACCCTGCATCTCCTTGTTACTGAAAGCCTGGGAGGATTTGCTGTGAGAAACCATCATCACAAAACTCACTGCAATCTGCTTAGCTCCCACAGAGGATAAAAATTATACAGTCAGAGGGAATAGTCTTTTCTAATACTATCCTGTCTTGAAACTCCCATTTCCAGTTAAAACAGTGAAAAGCTGACAGCTGAGTGTCTGCTATAGGAATATCTGATCTCTCCTGAGAGCTTCTCGCTCAGATTATTGCCCCCAGAGGGCTGTGATGAGGCGAAGACCTCTGTCTCTCCCAGGAGAAGGAACAAAGGGTGAACTAATGATGCTGGGGTCACTCAGCTCCTCCTACACCTCTTTATGTGCTCAGGACACACAGCTGTGCAGCTGACGAAGTCACATGAAGTCTGGCTCCCCTTTTCTTTGTGAGAAAGCAGGTGCATCTCCTCTCTGACTGCTCTGAAATGTTTCCACCCGGAACAGTCCTGCCGTCATCCTTTTAGTGTGCAGCACAGCCATTGAGGGACATTATGAGATGAGGTGGGCTGCTGTGACAATAATACCTTCTGCAGCTTTTTATGTCTTACATCCTACATTGGAGCCATTGCCTCCCAAGCATCTCTAGCACAGAGAATCATAGAATGATTAGGGTCTTGGAAGGGACCTTAAAGATCATCAAATTTCAGTATGTTAGAAGCTGGAAAACTGACTATGTATTTGCTTTAGCACATCCAAAGTCTATGAAAATAGTGTCTGGGAGGATTCCGCCTTCTCAGACTGTGACCTGTTTAGAAAGCATTACCCTGAGAACTCTCCCAGAGAAAACCAGGAAGTTTTCCATAGTCAAACCCAAGGATTAAATCGGGAAGAACAGAGAATCACTTTCTGTTGTGAGCAGATCTATGTCTTGTCTACAACCACATTCACTATGAAATTAATTAAGAGGTGGATGGCTTTCCTTATTTCACGCGAAGGTAAACATAGTAAGATTGGCCAGGACTTGTTCAATATGAAAGTTCACATCCCTTCTAATTAGAATGAAAACGTTATTTTCCAAACTGTCACGAGGAGAAATACTTTTTAAACACGCAGCAAGCCCTACTACAAAACCGAATTTTTTGCTTAAAATGAAAATCCCAGCAGCTCCGTCGCTTGACCACGCACAGCGTCTTCTTTTCTTCCCTCCCTCCTTCCTCTTTGTCACCTCTTCCAGAAAAGCAGCTCTGACGGAGAGTTCCAGAGGGCAGAGGACGGGATGTCTAATGCTGGACCTTTCGCGGGCGGGCCGGTCCAGAGGGGCGGCAGGGGGTGACAGCGCCGTGTCCGGCAGAGGGAGCGACAGTGGCAGCGGTGCTTGGGACCGCCCCGGCGCCCATTGGCTCGGCGGCTCCATATGGGGCTCGGCGCGGCTCCATAAAGGCAGCCCGTCTGCCCGTCCGTCCGTCTGTCCCCGGCCGGCCATGCCCTCGCCACCGCCCGCCCTGCCCTTGCTCCTGGCTGCCTGCTGCCTCTGCGCCCTCCCGCGGGGCTCAGGTACGTCCCGGCACCGGGAGGCGGGGGCGGAGAGGGGGAACACGGCAGAACCCCGAAACATTGAAAGGGTCGTCTCCCCTTCAGGGGCGCCGTCGGGGCTGGGCTCCGCGGCATCCTAACGCTGCCGTGTCCCTGCAGGGTTCCCGCAGCCTTTCTCGCGCTACTGGGACGGTGTGGAGCTGCCCCAAAAACAGGTACGTCTGTCGCTGCCGTCTGACAGCGATGCGCGGTGGACAGGTAGGGCAGAGACGGTCCAGCCTGGGACGGGCTGACCGGGAGAGGTGGGAAACGAGACTCGCCCGTGGCAGGGAAATGAGGAAGGAAATGGGCAACGGACTGGGAATACCTTATGAAATCCCTGAGGGAGGAGGGAGGCTGGCGCCCTTTGCTGCCCGCAGAGGTATGTGGGACAGGTGTGGGCAGGGGTGTGATGTGCATCAGGGTGCAGAATAGGATACCTGGGTAACCAAAAGCCGGGAAGGCTAATAACCAGCCAGTCCCGACTCCCCCAGTGAAAACACAGATCCTAAGGTATGATAGACACACTGCTAATGTCTAATCTTTACTTTTTAAAGCAACTGGCACTGTGTTTCAGTCAGTGGATGGAAATGTCCAATGAACCCCAGGTAAATTGACTCTGGTAATGTGTTTGATCTCTCTTCCAGACATAGTAATTGTCCTCTATAACCCAGAGCACTGATGTCTGCTGGTGGCAGAGCCTCTGCCAGAGAGCCAGTGGCTCTGGAGAGCAGGGAGAGTTTGCTGGTGTATGTGCTCTCCTCCCTGTGGAGCTAACACAGACCTAGAGAAAGAAAAAAAAAGTGCTTTTCTTGCCATCCCAGTAGTACCTAACACTGAAGCAAGAAGCGCCAGACAGTGCTGCAGGAGTTATAGGTCCTGTCTGGTCCCCTGGGTGCTTGGTGGGTTGATGGGTTTTCTCTGGGGTTCTCAGAGGAGAGGGGAGTGAGAAGATATTTTCACAGCTCATTTCTGCTCTAGTGTCTCTGGCTCAGAACTTGCAAACACTTCGAAAAAAAAAAAATCAGTATCTGAAAGCTCAGCCCCACTGCATTTGATATCGAGCCCAAGGGTCATTTTGAAAGAGGAGAGAAAAATATTTGCAGGATCAGGAAGTATCTGGAAATTTTAAACATTTTGTGCTGGTTTTTTCTTTCTGAAATCTTTCAGGTTTTTAAACCAAAACAGTTTGAGGAAAACAGTTCCCAGAGTCCATTGTTCAGGTGTCTTACACTTCACTTCCTTTGGAGCTGTAGTTTTTTCTCATCTAATGTGATTGCATGCATAAGCAAATCACTCTCCTGTGGCAATGAGTATGGGACAGTGTATTTCAGTATACAGTTAAAGATTATAGAATTGATCTGCTGAAATGCTTGTAGATGAAAATGAGCATAGATTAAAAATGCCAAACCCCAAAACTATTCCTAGAACAATTAGCATAGAAAAATGTATTTTAAATGTAAGAGGTTGATTTAGGTCTCTTTATAGCACAAAACTGTATTGACAATAGTAGTATTGTGTGTATTCTCCTCATACAAAATACTAGTTTTTCAGGTCATAATAGCATCAGTAGATCTTTCCCTGCTCTGAATGGTTTTAGTGAATCTAAATTGTGCTGGGATCAGAATCAAGCCTGGAGAAGAGGAGACTGAGGGGAGACCTCGTTGCAGTCTACAGTTTCCTTGTGAGGGGAAGAAGGAGGGTAGACAGTGATCTCTTCTCTGTGGTGACCAGTGACAGAGCCCGAGGGAATAGCCTAAAGTTGTGTCAGGGGAGGTTTAGGTTGGGTATTAGAAAAAGGTTCTTCACCCAGAGGGTAGTTGGGTACTGAAACAGGCTTCCCAGAGAAGTGGTCACAGCACCAAGCCTGACAGAGTTCAAGAAGCATTTGGACAATTCTCTCAGGCACGTGATGTGATTCTTGAGGTGTCCTGTGCAGGGCCAGGAGTTGGACTCGATGATCCTTGTGGGTCCCTTCCAACTTGGCAGATTCTGTGATTCTGCGAAAACTTGTACACCACATCCTTCCAGTAAATGTATTAAAGTACTGTTTGGTTTTTTTTCAGATCTCCAGCTCTGTTTTGGATCTCTGTTATTCCATATTCAACAGCATGCATAAAAATGAGGTAGGCTGTAATTGCTTTTGTTTCAAAGCACCCGCTCCTTAAAATTAAAAAGCAAGCCCTCCAAACCCAGCTTTTTGACGTTTCTCTCCAAATAAATGTTTTAAGAGACGTAGGAGAGTATATAAAAGATTATTTCTTCTTGTTAGTAGTTTGTATGTAATTCTGAACTACATTAAACTATATATGAAATTGCTGGTTTTCACCAATTCAGAGCTCAAGAACCAAAACATTCTCTTACAGCCAGTCAGTACTTAAACCTGACTTTCACTTTTTAATAATACAGGGTTGACTATGCTACAAATATACGTAAAATTTGATCAATAGCATAACTTAAATCATGCTGAACATGGAGGTGTATGATTTGCTTTACCAATATTAATAGTGTATTTGAGCTTGAGGGTTTTTTTGTGTTTCTGACTCAGATTAAAAAGATTAAATTGAGGAGTTATTGAGTATAGCTTTTTTGCTGGTGCAGTCATATTAGGTCCCAGCTCAATGTCATCTCTGCTTTATATCACTTTTTTATTATCACCACTCTATTAAGAACTTTTTCCATAAAATTCACTCAGCCCCTGGGTATGTTAAAAAGGCAAATTTACTTGTGGAGTTTGAGTTCTCTGTTGTCTCAAAATGGGAGTAGATTGTCCAAGACAAAAATAGAAAGTATTTTGACATGTGTTTCAGTATCTCTTCTTGCCAGTGTCTTTAGCTTATTATAATTCCAAGCATACTTTCCTAAAGCAACCATAAAACTCTATCATATTGAACTTGATTGTATAAAAAATTCTAATATTTCAGTCATAAATGTCTAATAAATGTTTTTGAGTTTGATATTGACTCCTATGCTTCCACAGCTTAGCTAATGAGGGAACATACAGAATCATCTAGTAACTTTGAACAGAGTCCTTTTTACCTTTCAAAGAATTCACCCTCTGTTATGTGCCCTCAAGATTGGGAGCTGAATCTCATAAAATATCCTTTCAAAAATATGACTAATATCAGCTATATATCTGCAATATGATTTTTAGGTGTGGTCTAATTAAAGTGGAAGATTGAATATAAATGTGAAATATGGAAAAAGAACTATGTAAAGTTTTACCCAGCTGATCAAATCTATTACATGAAGTTGTACTTTCTTAGCCCACAAGGAATCTTGTGTCTATGTAAGACTCAAACATGAGTCTATATGTAGTGCACCCAATGAAACAGTTATGAAATCCTACTGATTTCAGCTGAACTTCAGCTTTCACCATCATACTGTATTTATGTGAATTAAAAAAAAATTAGTCAGAGTTATAGATTATGTACAGAATGTAGGTAGTGTTTCAAGAGAAGGAATGAGGCCTAACCACTATGAAAGGCAAAGTCAATGGCAATTTGGGACTTGAACTCCACCTGGGGAACTTAAAATATTTTGTGAGACTAAGACTATTTAACATCAATGTCTAATGACACTTAGAAAGAAAGCAAAAAGAGCTATCTAAACCTAGCTACATCACAATCACCTCACTGAACATTTGCCTAAAGTCAAACCAAGACACTGTTTAGAAGCTCAGTTTTTACCATGTTTCTTCCACATAGTAACCTCTCACTGTTATAAATTAGCTAGGATAGTTGACACTGCAGGTTAAGTCGTGAGTCAGTCTCTATCTTTGCTTGGTATGTAATAATCATATCAGAACAACGGTAGCATTCACACTGTCTCTTTGATGTACTCTCCTTCTTTGCATCCTTAAAGCACCTTGATTAAGCAAACACTTTTTTCTTCCGTAGCGTTTTATAGCCCTGTAAGTTGATGTCAGTTGCTTTATAAATTGTCTTGAGGCTTGAACCAAAGAAATCCTCTTCTCGTACCGTGACTCAATGATCCTTGTGGGTCCCTTCCAACTCAGCATATTCTGTGATTCCGTGAAATGTGATTCCCTCCTTCTTGCTCGTATATTTTGTCTTTTAAAATTCTTCCTCTCCAGTTTCCCATCTGCATGTTTTCCTGTTTTCACCCCCTGTCTTCACGTCCTTGCTCATTTTATGTGCTTGTTTTTCAAGCCCACCCCAAGTAACTAAACCCAACTGTTCCTATGGCACACAAAGCCATCCCATTCCTGGCTGGCTGTGAGCATGCAGCCTGGCAGCCATGTCATGGGCAGGATGGCTCCCAAACCAGGCTGCAAGTTCAGGGCTGTGTTAGATGAGGAGCTTAGTCTGCTCACATAAAGTCATGGGCAAAGTTTCTATTCCTTGATGTAAGGCTGAGTAGAAAAATGAGCAATTTTCTGAAGAATAAAGATTTTAGAGGAAGGCTTAAAACCAGCAATCATTCTTGGGTTAAAACCAAGGGCAGTCTGAAAGGTGAGGAGCAGCCACATTTTAACAAGGTAAGAGCTATCAGTACAATTCAAGCCTGAGGAGTAGAGCTGCTGCATTTGCTCCAGGGTGAGCTCTGCTTCCCCTACCAGAGCATGGCTGCGCTTTGCTGTACAGTGAGGGAAGCATATTGAATGATGGTAATGAATGCAGTAACATTGATTAAGGCAAGGCTTGAAATCAATCTTTAGAAAGATCCATTTGCTGCTGTTCCAATATCTGTGGTAAGTGTAAAGTTATCTCTCTTCTCATGTGGAGTGCACCAGCCTCATCAGTAATAGAGGGTCTGTACCAAACCAAAGAAAAGCTGGCATGTTGATTAACTTACACTATCTGCTTGCAGGAATCACAGATTGCTTCTGCAAAGTTTACAAAGAAGGTATGTAAATGTGAAGACAAGCAAGTAGCAGTGGGCAGGGAAGTATGTCCTTTTCCTTGTTTCTTTTGCTGCTTTTTTAAAGTCAGCTTGGTTTTTTTTTCAGTGGTTGGGAAGTGATCTGTGCAGACCCTGCTTATACCTACCCTATGTGTAAAGATTTCTTTTATACCTTCTCTAAACCCTGTGAATCTTTAATTTTGGTAATTTAGTATATTTACACTAGACAGAATGGATAAGTTCTTGACAATGCCCTTTGGGCATTAATTTTTAATCAGCATTCCAGATGAATGGGCATTGGGGACTATCAACATCTTGTTTGCATGCTGCTGAAAAAGGCATGAATTATCAATATTCTGATAGAATGGTACCAAAATTTGTCAACAGATCTATTGAACTGAGTTTAAAGTACTTTGTTATTATGTTTTATTTTACAGGACAGTCATGGGACTCTGGGACGGCCTTTTTTCCTTTTCAGGGTATCTGAATCTCTTACCTTCTAAAGATTCTGAATCACAGACGATATATGTCCATATAACAGGAAAGCTGTTTCCCTTCACCAATTCTTGCTGCAGTTGTTTTGAGTAGAGGCCAAATATCCCTTGCTTGAAAGCTGAGGGAGCCATTTGCTTAAAAAGCTCTGATTTGACTAAAAAAACCCAAGATAATGAGAACTTGGGTAGTAATGGATTACATGCATTTTTTTGTTTGAAGATATGCTGCTGCAAGTGTTTTATCTTGAGCCAAATCATCCATGTGGCTTGTATCTCCAAGACTGTCAAGGTGCACTGATGGTAAATGCGTTAGATAAAATGTGCCTGAGCTGACTGTCCACTTGGCCTGAAAGGTCTGGCCAGTAAGTGATGTCAACAGAGTGAAAAGCCAAAGCAAAATTATCATAATTTCTCTCATGTCTTTCACCCCTTGGCTTGCTGAGCTATGACATGGTCTAATGCCAAATGAGCTGGTTTGGACACACTCTGATTAACAAAAAACTAACTTCTAGGAATATTTTCAACATATTTAAAAAAATTAAAAATATTATCAGGTAGGTCATATCAGGTAACCAGAGTCCCAATTAACTGTCATTTGCTTACTTCAAGTGTGTCCAGCCAGGTTCTCTCTGTGCTGGTATTTGTATATTCTCTCTTAGGCATGTGCAATTCCCCAAGGGATTGAGACCAAAACCCTGAATGAGAATGATTAAAGCCAGAATTTTAGCTGTTTGGACAGAGGCTGAATGAATATTTCTCAAATTCAAACATACAACCCACCCTGCACGGATCCCCTGATATTTGATATAGGAAATCTTACTGCAGTCTTCTTATACAGTACGCTGTCTGCATGATGGTGATTTATTTTGGTGTGCTTATAAATCTGGTATCTAGTACTTCTGCACAGTCATCTAATTAATATATTTTTCAGCCTCGAAATGGAAGAACAATCAAAGGCAGCGGTAAGTGGACATCCAAAAGTGACAAGAATTTGTTCTGATTTTTTCAATAATGATGATCCTCGTGACAGAAGGAGTTACTGAGAAACATTACAAACCTAGTACAAACCTAGATACACATGTGAATGTTTCATATGGTCACTAGGAGATGTCTTGACAGAAATGTGATTTTTAAGGCTCAGAGCCTTAGAGTGTACGCTCTTGACAAAGGGATTGTTTTCTTGTCTCTTTAAGGTTGAGTAAGAAGGAATTTTCATCCTCTGCAAAATGATAGAAATGGTACAGAAACTGTAAAGTTTAAAGACAGAGGGTGTAGATGGTACTTGAAACAGAAAAGCTAGACTTTTTTGTTCAAAGCCACCTTCAGTCACCTAATCCCACATGAGATCTCCCTAACACTGAATCTGTACATGCAGGTGGTAGTCCTCACATCATAATTAGGACCTTTTTGAGGGCAAACATTCTCTATGAAGAGCAGGGCTGGGGATGTAAGGGAGGAAGAAAATGAGATCTAATAATATCACCTAGCACTTACATATCCATCTTTGAAAGTATCTACTTAAGGTCTAAGTGAGCTTTACTGGGAAATGGACAATATAGTCAATATACCCATGTACCCTTCTTCAGTCTCTTTTCTTCCAATACTTTATCTCACAATAAAAAATCACCATTTTTGTTTGCAATCTAAGAATTATTTCCAGCTGTTGACTGAAAGGGGTTTGGTTGGGTTTTCTTTTTCTTTGTTTATTTTTTTGGGTTTTTTGTTTGTTTGTTTGGGGGGTTGTTGTTGTTGTTGTTTTTTGGGGGGATGTGTTTGTTTGTTTTTTTATGATAAAACCTGCAAAACCCCCCCACAAGTAAAGAATACCCTTGCTGTATATTCAGGATGAAACTATTTTGGAAAGAAAGGAACCAAAGATTTAAGAGAGTGTTGTAGAGCAACATTGCTACTTGCTTGCTCTGGTCTTAGGCACTGCCCTGGGCAATCTGTTGCTTCTCATAGATGAAAGGAACATGAGGAACTCCATGGATCTCTGGTTTGAGCTGATGCAGCTGTTCTTGTTGTTAGGTCCATATGTGTGTGGGAAATGTTTCATAGCTCAGTAGCATGTTGGTGTAGAAGCCACTACTCTATACTCATGCCCTAGCCTAACATACAGCGGTAAATTTTATCCATAGTTCAGCCCCCTGAGCCAACCTGGTTGCAAGATGCATTCCATGATTCCATACTCTAAAAGGTCAGCAGAGTGAGGACATGGAAAAGAGAAGAACTGTGTGGGGAGGGAGGATTAATGTTTGAGTACAAATAACAGATTTGGGCACTTAACTAGATGTACAGAAGTGAAACTAAGTCATATTCATCTCAACATAAAACATGACATTGTTTTAATTTGTTTCAGAATACCATGGAATATGAAGTTCATGAGTTGATTTACCAGCTTGATGACTTGGTTTACGTAAAGAAAGGAGACTTCCCATTGCACTGGTTGTCTATTATGTGACTCAGTTGAATTTGCTGTTCCATGTAATAAATTTGCAATCATTAATTCTTGTTGTCCCTTTCTTACTGAAGCCTGTCCTAGACTTCATTGGGCTATAGTGTAGCATTGCCTGGTGCCAGCTGTAATCAAAGGAAAGCAGTCATCTCAATATCGACAATTTTCAAAACCAACAGTGCATTTTATAACATCTTCTTTAATAGGGTCATAAACTATAAGCTTGTCCTTTTGACTAGATAATGTATTTCCCCAGAATTTCAGAGTATGCATCCTGAACAACACGGTATTAAAATCATCATGGACATTTTAATGATTTATTTCTTATTTTGAATAACTAAGGGCTTCAGTGTGATTATTGATGAATCCAATGCACTTTAAAAGAAGGGGAATAAGTACTGCTGCTACACACAGACATTATTTGATCAAATGATGTTTTTTTTTTCAGCCTTGCCTTATTGGCTGTCATAAAGCACAAATGAGGCACTTTTGAGAGATATTCTGAACATCTGCTCTTTTTCTCTGAAATCATACATTTAAACCTGTGGTGTAGCCAATTGTGCTTGCACTGCATAGAGTGTTTTGGTAGGTGGAGACATTTACAGGCACAAAACTTCAAGTACTAAGCAGTTACTTCCTTAGGAAGAAAAGAGCATAGTAAAAGCCAGAATCTGGGGATACGAACAAGGCTGCAATTCCTGAACACAGCATTGGCTTCCTCAAGCCCTTTGTTATCCTTCTGTCTCCTTTTTGGCTACTCAGTCATAGTACCATGGCATAATACCCTCTCAATTACACTGGCACAGCCACACGTGAACTGGATTGGGAGACACCTTTGTCTTTAAAAACAAACCCTGAGAAACCTGTATTTTGTTGTTTTGTGGGGGTTTTTGGAAGGTTTTTAACCAGATAGGTTCCCAATTTGGGCTGTATTAACACAAGTTTGGCTGGTAGGTAGAGGGAAGTGATGAGTCACTTGGCAATTGTTAGGCCACATCTAGGGTGGATTGTTCAGTTTTGGGCCCCACAATACAGGAAGGGCATGGACAAACTGGAGGGAGCTCATGGAGGGCCTCCAAGGTGATGAGGACTGTATCCCTTACCCCTGAGGAGGGGTGAGGTTCAGCCTGCAGGAGGGATGCCTTCAGGGGTGTCTAATAGACTTTCCAATGCCTATGAGGGTCATCAAGGAGACAGCTGGGCTGCTCAGAGAGTGGAGTGAGAGGACAAGTAGCAACGAGCGTAAGTTGAAGCAAGAGAGGTCGAAGTGTCCAGGCAGTGCAAACAGTTGTCCAGAAAGGTTGTGCAGTCTCCAGTCCTTGAAGATTTTCAAGACCAGAGTAGACAAAACCTGGTCTGAATTTCCGCTTGGGATCAGACTAGAGACCTCCTGAGGTCCCTGCCAGCTTCAGTTATTCTGTGACATGAGTACAATTTTATGCCTCTAACAGGGTCAAGACCTGGCTGTGTTATACCTCCTGTGCCTCCACCTGGGCAGAGGGTGCTGGTGGGGTGGGGTTCCCAGAGAGGCTGGTCAGTTAAGGCCTATTTGTGCTTTCATAGCACCCTATTGCTGTTATTCAGTGTGTTGTCAATTCCTGTTGGAAATTATTAGCCCTGGGAAAGACTACCAAAGGGATGCTTGCTCCTCTGGCTTCTCAGGTATTTGGAGCCAGCTAGGGTATCCCTCTGGAAGAAACAACTAAACCAAATACGAGTGGTGGAGGTGCACTGTGGTAATGCAAATAAATATGAGATAATGATACAAAAGCACAGCAATGGCATTCCTAGCTTATTTCATCTCAGAGGCCAAAGCTGAAGAGTATAACATTTTGCACAGTTCTGCATAAATATTTGTGTTGGTTTTGTCTGGGATAGCGTTTTCTTCATAGCAGTTTTTATGGTGCTATGTTTTGGATCTGTGACCAAAGCGCTGTTGATAACAGAGGGATGTTTTAGCTATTGCCTAGCAGTGCTTGCACAACCTCAAGACCTGTTTCCCACCCCACCAGCCATGAGGCTGGGGATGCACAAGGACTTGGGAGGCGACACAGCTGGGAAAGCTGACCCCAACTGCCAAAGGGATATCCCAGACCATATGGTGCTGTGCTCTGCAATAGACGTTGGGGGAAGGAGAAAGGGACACACACACACACGTTCGGATGGTGTTTGTCTTCCCAAGTCACAGTTAGGAGTGATGGAGCCCAGCTTTCCTGGAGATGGCCATCACTGCTGATGTGAAGAAATGAATGAATTCCATGTTCTGCTTTGCTTTACCTATTGAACTGTCTTTATCTCAGCCCATGACTTTTCTCATTTTTACCCTTTGAATTCTCTCCCCTATCCCGCTGGGGGAAGCAATCAAGACAACTGAAGTTAAACGACAGCAGTACTGTACCACAGGCAACTCATGCTGTGCTCTCACAATCAGCAGTAGCTTTCTCCACCCACAAGAGGTTTCAGGAATAACATCTATTGGGGCATTAAAACTGGTTAATAAGACTGATAATAATGGGTGGCAATTTGTGGGTGAGAACCTATCTTATGTTCCTCAGTCATATTCCTGTAGTAACTGTGACTCCTCTGTAAAAAGCACAGAAGAGCTTTTGTTCACTGCTCAGTGCAAATCTTTGCTCCCTGGAGCACTACAAATGTCACGTGTGAAACGGGAGAGATTAAAAATATTGAAATGTAAAGGTCATCCCTGGCCTGAAACTCTTTATGGGCATCCCACTGCAAAATCCACAGCAGAAATTGAGGAGTGCAGACACAGGTGACAACAACCATTAGAAGCACAGAAATATTTCTGCAAAAAAAAAAAAAGAGGTGAAAGCTCAGTTCCCATTGTCAGCCAGAGAAGAGACAAATCAAGAGTGACATGACAAGGCATACAAAGTAATGAGTGAGTTTAGAAGAGTAAATTGGGTGCTTATCCATTCTCTGGTAATAAAAAGCACCAAGGAGAGACACTCAATTACACTGAGAGGCAACACATTCCAGCTGCACAGGGGAATTTTTTTTTCCAACAATCAACTCTTGAAACCAATTGCTGCAGCTTAGAGCATGTGTTTACAGCTCTGTCGGCTCCTAGGAAGGCAGGCATGTTCAGGAGTGCACACCTTCATGCCACCTAACTTGACTTGAAAATCACTTCATGCTGGCCCAGGACCTTAAAAGCCTGGCCTGGTGGAGCTGGGCTCAGCAAGGCATTGCTCAGCAGAGCGCACAGCAAGGGACCTGGAAATGCAATCACCTGTGGGGGAGCGAGTGCTGCCCGGCCTCACGACATGCCACTCACCAAAGAGCCAGAGCACGAAGCACAAGAGGAAAGCCTTCTTGGTGTTTTATGTCACTCTGTCTGGTCCTTTCATGATCTTCTGCCTTGGACAGCCTCACTCCCTTCTCAGCTCCCACAGGGAAGACTCACTTACTAAATCTTCAGGTGATGGCAAGCTGGGAGGGATGGCAAGCGCTGGAGGACAAAGTCAGCATTCAGAATGGTGTTGGGAAAGACTGATATGGAAAAAAATACGCACAGCTCACTGAGTATGAAAGGAAGTTATTACACATACTGAAGAAAAACCAGTTGCAGCTTTGCAGCAAAGGGAATGGGTAACTGTAGACAGTCAAATATCATAATATTGAGGAGAGCACAGAAATACAATGTGGAATGAATAAGAAGCTGTAGGAACTATCACATGGGAGGTGCTGCACTGCTGACTATAGGTAAGACTTCATGTACAGAGCAATACAGAAGAAGAAAGGGAAACCAACAGCAGAGAGGAAAGGCAGAGGTCAAGGAAAGCTGGCACTGAATAAAGGGAGGTTGCTTTGCAAGAAGGAAAGTGTGAGGAGGGGAATGATAAAATGCTTCATTTTAAGCTCACCACTCCCAGCAGCAGCCATCCATGCCCATGGATGGATACTGCTGGGAGAGGTGAGCTTAAAATGGAAACAGGTTCATATTAAATCTGACAATTGGGAGAATGAAGTGCTGACTGATAGGCAGAGTTATCTTTTCTTGGTCATAAAAATTTTCCTGGGGAACTGACACCTCACTTGAACTCTAAGTTACAAAAGTCCCAGCTCTGAAATAGCTGCAAGCAGCATTTTCTCTCTTCAGTGTTATATCATGGTGCAGTGTTTATTCTTGTGTTTCATTTGATGAAAGATTAGTACCATTGTATTGTTGAGCACAGAATAATAGAATCATTTGGGTTGGAAAAGATCTTAAAGATCATCAAGTCCAACTGTTAATCTAGCACCACCATGTTCACCACTAAATCACATCCCAAAGTGCCACATCTACATGTCTTATAAATACCTCCTGGGATGGTGACTCAACCACTCGCTTGGGCAGCCTGCTCCCATATGTGACAACCCTTTTGATGAAGAAATTTTTTCCTAATGTCTAGCATACTTCAGATAGAAATTGCTCTAGCTGCTTCTGGAGAAGTGTAAGTTTCAACCTTGAAGAGCCCAGCCCTTACACTTTACATACTTTTAATTTATGATAACACCTGTCACACTAACAGCTGTGAGAAGTGACCCAGAGGCAGCCCTGGGAATCTTAGTGTCTTTGCTTCTGAAATGCTTGTGTAAAACAAGAGAAAAAATCCCATCATGGAAAAGGAAGTACATGGATTACAGGATCAATGGAAAAGATCATTTGTGATCTGTGAACTCAGGCTGCGCACAAACTGAAGTCCTTTAAAAACACATTGAGAGGATTCAAATAATTGGCAGTGAGGGCTGACCAACGGCCAGTGAGGTAACTGCCATGTATGCATGACAGGCAACTCTGTCTAGGAACTAAAACCACATCAGCTGACTGCTTGTCTCCACAACTCTCAGCAGGTAATGTGACAGAAGTAGCTGCAGAAATTGAAAAACCCACTGGAGATTAAAAACCATAGCCAGTTGTGCAGAAGATATGTAACTGCCTGACAGGTTGGCCAAAAGCTGCCAGCATCCCATTCGAGTTTCTCTAATGCATGTTAGGC